GTCAAGCATTATGGTCTCACTTCAATGGTCCAGAGAAGTCTTCAGCGGACAGGATCGAAGCAAAATGCAAAGGTGAATGTTTCATTTGCCAACTGTTAGTAACTGGCCACCTGCTCTGCGCTCGGCGGATCCTCCAAAAACAATGGTTTTCTACAAGTGTTTCGTCAAACAATTTGACGATGTGATCCCAGGGCTTCAAACTTTCGGCACCAACCATCTGGATCCAGATCGTGAATTTTGGATAAACTCCATTGGCGGGGTCAATAATTTATAAGATATTTGTGTTTGGTGGAGAGGCTGTTTGAATTCGACCAGAAACTTCTCCGATTTTGACTCTGGATCCACTTCAAACAGTTTCTGTCGTCACAGCAATTGGATCCATGCCTTCAAGATCCTTCAAGCTTGAATGTGTGTGTATCCAAATGTCTGTGATGTGGATTCTGGATGATTCTGGATATTTCTTCGATCTTTCTTCGTTCCATTGGTTTCGCGCAGTGGGACGAGGGCGACGAGGCCTTGACATTCCTCGACATGTGGAACTTCTGCCGACGGCACGACGTGTCGCCGTCCCAGGTGGTTGTAAATGACCAAGGGATCTTTCCATTGCAATGACTACCAAGATGATCACTGTGGACGCTCTCAGAAGAATGCCGCAATATGTCAGGCGATTGCAATGTTTGGTCTACCATACCAGAATCTCACGAATTCCTCACCCACATACACCTGGCAATATGTGGGCTGCCCGTTGCAATTATGTGGGAACACATGTCAAACTTGATTGACCAACCGTTGTTTCAAGATGTTTCAAGATGAGAAGTGAACATGCTATGGCGAAGGCGGTTTCGGGAGCTTCAATGCAATAATATTTGCCATTTCTGGTGCATTGGGAGAGGCAGGTGGTCCACTTAGCATTGAATCCATTCCCATCCCGAAGTGCGGCCTTGCGACTTAGACACAGCACGTTCACATGGGGCACCCCTGCTGGCATTCGTTGCACATGGCAGAGTCGTGGGGAAGGAAAACGCCTCATCTCCACAAGCTGGTTTCAGCTACTGTACAATTTGTCAGCGCATGTGAGCGCCAAGCGCCGCTGAGCTGTGGGAAAGGCACTGCAGAAGCTGATACAAAGGCGTTCGGGGCCAGATGGGGCTGGAATTCCTGCTTGAGCGTTGTGAAGGAATGGTTGAAGCATGCCAGAGGGTTTCATTCCGTGCACGTGGCTGGGTCGAGATGCAGTTCTGATGCAATATGTAAATATGATGTAAATATGATATGTTTTGATGATCTTTGATGACGAAAGGGCACAAGGCACAAAGTGACTAATTAATTGAAGCGGGCTCTGTGCCGTTAAGGGGGTATGCCAGCACCGCAGTAGAGTGTGATCCGTAGCGGTAGCTGTGTCTTTGCCCTGGTGGGGACGGTCGAATTTCCGTACAACGGGCTCCACCTGGGGCTGGACATTCTTCTGAGCCTGACTGGATTCGCACCATGCAAGAGCCCGGAAGAAAACACAAGCTGCTCGATTGGTACCATTTCTGGACAATCCCATTTGTGCAAGTGTGTAAATTGATTTGAATTGTTCATGAATCCTATGGTTTTATATGGTTTTTGTCATGGTTTATCTCTTGTATAACACCTGTTCTGGATGCTGCAAAGCTGGGACCTTTCCAGTTGACGCAGGCCCTACGCACCGGCACGGCCACCTACCGTGCCACGGGACGACCTAATGCGAACACGCGGCTCACCTTGATCGACACCTTCCTGCAGTATCGTCAGATGCATTATCAGGAGCACCATGGAGCACCTGGAAATTGTCATCTTCAGGTGTTGTTTTCACGATGGCAATGGTGTTTGGATGTGTTTGGTGATTCTCGGTGAACATAGATTATTGTTTATCATACTGGTATGACCTTATATCACCATCATCACCTATCTGAATATCTGTTGGTGTGCCAGGATGCATGCCTTTTCCTCTTCTATTACATCCTGTACCGAAGTGCGAATATGGGTCTTGCTGGTGCTTTGCCAAAGCCTTAGCCAGTGGAATGTCAACATGTCAACATGTCCAGTTTCTCCAATCTTCGCGATGGATGACCTGTGGTTCCCCAGCAGCGTGATGCTGGAGAATCTGGAGTTGAGTCGAGTGCTTTCCATGTTTCTTCCTGCTACGCTTTGCCGCGCAGACAGCTTTAAATTCGCCATTCTGCACACTGCTGCGCACTCCACCACTCTGCCCACTGACAGGCCAATGATTACAATCATCTTCGCCTGTGTGTGCTGGCTGACGGTCCCCACCTTGTTTGCCCCGTATCCAACGTGGCAAAACCTTTGTGAGGCGTCAACAGGGTCAAACTCACACCCAGTTGTCATCAGATGTCATCAGCACCTCGATTGATTGCCCGAGATGGCAGAATTTCTCAGCATGACCCCTGATCGTTCCATCGTTGCCAGGATGTCGAGGCCTTCTATCACTTCATGATGAGATGTCCTGCAGATCGCAGCAGGGCTGAGCTCTACAGCAACAGGTCTGGAGTCATGTCACCTGGATGCTGCAGCTTGTTTGCGCAGTTTGGTGTGACCCATGGCAGGCTACCACAGAATTTCGCAAGAGGGGATCATCAAAGACGAATAACCTGCAAATCCGTGTCACCAGGGCATTCGTTTTGGGAAGACACGGGAGCATTTTCGGTGTCAGATAGCAAGGTGGTAATAGACACAGATTTTGGCTCAAGAGACTCATCAGGGCTCAACAATTCGGCGATTTGCGGCTTCTTTTTCTCATTGCTTCAGCTTTCTGCCATGTAGCTTAGCCAAGATGGGCTGGTGAAGCCGGTGGTAGGGATATGTAGGGATAACGTCGGGTTCATAGGCACATGTGGACTCCCCAGGAAAATCTGCAGTAATTTAATATATTTTTTATATAACATTTCTAGCATGCTTTAGTTTAATGAAGACGCAGGGATTTGCTACAAAGGGAATCTCGTCAATCAGGAGGCTTCATCATGTTGATTTGAAGACCAACGGATCGTGGAGACTGATCGCATCCACATGTTTGAAGCTGACCTCCTCATCTTTGCCTCAGCACCAAAGGCGTTGCTTCTTTCATGGAACATCGTGTAACTAAAATTGAATCCAAAACCCCAGGAAGCTGAGTCAGATGACCTCAGCTGAGGTGGCGAGTTGCTGCACTAGCCTTTCTGGTGGCCACCGGCGTTTGCGTTGCAAAGGAGGAGGAGAAGAAGATCGATGGCCCGGTGATCGGTATCGATTTGGGCACCACCTATTCCTGCGTTGGAATTTACAAGTTTCCAAGCTGCAAGATGGATCGAGATGGATCAAGATAGAATGTCACAAAATGATACAAAATGCAACAAGAAGTCAAGAAGCAACAATACCATACAATACCTATCTATTGACATCCCATGCTGCTACCAGTTCGATTGATTCATATCCATTGTATACGTGGCCTTGTCAAGGAATGGCCGAGTAGAGATCATCCCGAATGATCAAGGCAGGACATGGGCCATCTCGCAACCGTTTGTGCAGGGAGAAAACTATGGAAGGACAAGTCCAAGCCATATGTTCCCAAGTTGCTTCGTATGTTTTTTTGGTGCAGGCAACAGAATCACGCCGTCTTACGTCGCATTTACCGACGACGAACGGCTTATTGGAGAGGCTGCCAAGAACCAGGCAGGGATTCCTGAGCACGCAGCCCCGCCACGAAGGAGAAGATCCATATAATACCAGTAGTACCGCATAAGGCGGTGGCGGAAGTTTCAAAGATAGGAAACTATAGGATAGGTGAGTTGTTGTGAATCACGAATGGCAGAGCGAATCCACTGATGGACCGAAAGGTGGTTAGAGTTGTGTTTTTTGGCTGCAATGGTTGCAGTGGTAGTAGTGTGGTGTAGCGCAGTTGTAGTTGCAGTTGTAGCTGTAGTTGTAGTGTAGTGGAGTTGTAGTTGTAGTGTAGTGTAATTAGTGTAGTGTAGTTGCAGTTGTAGTTGTGGTGTGGTGCAATTAGTGTAGTAAAGTGTAGTGTAATGTAGCATAGCGTCGTGTACTGTTGCATTGCGTACTGTAGTGTAGTATAGTCTAGTCTAGCCTAGTGTAGTGTAGGGTAGTTGCAGTTGTAGTTGTAGCTGTCGTTGTAGTTGTACTTAGTGTAGTGTGGTGTGGTGTGGTGTAGTTGTAGTTGTAGTTGTCGTTGTAGTTGTACTTAGTGTAGTGTGGTGCGCTGTGGTGTGGTGTAGTTGTAGTTGTAGTTGTCGTTGTGGTTGTAGCGTTGTGTAATGTAGTGTAGTTGTAATTGTAGTGTTGTGTAATGTAGTGTAGTGTAGTTGTAGTTGTAGTTGTAGTGGTAGTGTGCTGTAGTGTACTGTGCGTCTGCAGTGTACTGCAGTGTACTGTAGTGTACTGTAGTGTACTGTAGTGTACTGTAGTGTACTCTAGTGTACTCTAGTGTACTGTAGTGTACTGTAGTGTAATTAGTGTAGTGTGGTGTAATGCAGTGTAATGTAGCGCAGTTGTAGTTGTAATTGTAGCTGTAATTGTAGCAGTAGTTGTAGTTATAATGTAATTAGTGTAATGTACTGTAATTCGCTTATTGTAGTGTAATTAGCGTAGTGTAATGTAATTAGTGTCGTGTAATGTAGCGTAGTACATTTGCACGTTGTAGTTGTAGTTGTCTATCTATCTATCTGTCTGTCTGTCTGTCTGTCTATCTATCTGCAAGTTTGAAATCGAAGCTATTCTGCGAGACTTCCTCAGGGTTTGAACTTGACAACATTAACAAGGCAGCAATTTTGCGAGATTTCCTCAATTTTCGAAGTTGACAACATCAAAAACGAAGCAATTTTGCGAGACGTCCTTCACTTTTTGAAGTTGACAACATCAAAAAACTAAGCAATTCTGTGAGGCTTCCTTCAAAAAATGGAAAAGTTGAGTGCACAGCTGACGGCCTCGTACCAATGCGTTTTGCGATTTTTCCACTCCATCCGTGTAAAGTGCTGCGCATGCCACGCACAAGTGATGCCAGGTCATACGAAGTGCTGCACCTGTCACCCAAAATCATCTTAGCAAACCTGAAGATCTGAGGCTCCAAAATGCAACCCATCTCAGGAAATCAGCGCCCTGACCTCCTAACATCTCTGATGAACATGTCTCTTGTACTGCGCCTGTCACGCGAAATGCATCTTTCCAGATCCCCTTCAAATGTCCCACGCCTGCCATAGTTTTTGGAAATGCTACAAAACTCTCATGTTTTGCTAGGTGCAGAATCCTTTGCTGGTGTGTTTTGTACATTTTGACTTCCAAATGTGCTTCGTGCCACAACGGTGTGCACTTTTTCACCATCTCGACTTCCAAAAGTGGTCTGAGAATGGTGTGTTTTGTACATTTTGACTTGGAAATATGCCTCGCGCCACAACGTCGTGCACTTTTTCGACATCACAACTTCCAAAAGTGGTCCGACACTGAGGTGCTTTGCACATTTTGACTTCGAAATTTGCTTCGCGCCGCAACGGCGTGCAATTTTGCATCTCTCATCTGGCCAGCTGGCTCCGCACCCGCCGCTTTAGCGAGCCTACCTTTCGACCCTCCGGAGCCACAAATCATTGGAGAAACACAGTGGACCGCAACTTTTCTACCTTGTCGCGCACCTACATCTTCTTTCTTCTCGCTCTTTCTCTTCTCTGATCTTCTCTCTTCTTCTTCTCTTCTCTGAGTGTTCCCACCTGTGCTTTTCCATCTATCCATACTGTCGGAAGTTTGACTTCTAAACTTCCTTCGGTCATATAATACCTGATGATGTTTCTTTCTCTATGCAGTATACTACACTGTATGTGTGTAACATATGATATCACATTATAAAAATACACATTCCGCCCAAGCTTTGCTTTAGTCCGCGCTCGTTGCGACAGTCTCACTAAGAAAGACTTATCCAAAACATTCCAAACCTGATTGACAATCAAAAATTCAAGTTTTTGTCAGTCCCATTTCATCTGCATCTCGGTATCATCCCGATGTTGACATTTGCCGCTCGTCAAGGCCACCATCAATCCGACCCAGACATTGTTTGACGTGAAGCGTTTGATCGGCCGGCGCTTCAAGGACTCCACGGTGCAGAAGGACTGACAACACCCCACAACTCACAACCTGAAAATTCACTAAATCCATGGGTTAGTCAGGATTTACTCATTGGATTGGCTATTTGGGGGGATACCGCATTGTCAGCACCCAACTGAGAACTGCAAGGTTTGATCAGTAGCAGATTTGGCATCCGGATGGATTGTGGGTCTCCCCCAATCTCTGCTTTGAGATTCACTTTCGTTGTGGCCTAAACTCAAGGGAAAACACTGGCAACATCCACCAACTTCAACCCACCATTCAGAGGTGGCACCATTTCCCGAGGACATCAAGCTTTTGCCCTATGAGATCGTAGACAAGGCCAGCAAGCCGATGATCAGCGTGAAGGCTGGACGAACGTTTTGGTGCGGATCTGGGCTATGGCCCTGAGGGACCACTGTCCCAACCACTATTGGAAGATCAGTTTAAGGTAGTTTAAGGATAGGCCAGAAAGGTATTCAGTGATTCGGGTGGCAAAGTGCAGTACATCACCTTGAAATTACCTTGTTCCCCACCCGCCAGATAGAATGCCACATAAAGATTTCAGATAGAATGTGAGAATATATGTCAGAATATGTGTCCGAGTCTGTGTCAGATAAAATACCAGAAGATACGTCAAACAGAATGCCACTATCAATATATATATATATCTATCTATCTACCTATCTATCTATCTATCTATCTACCTATCTACCTATCTACCTATCTATCTATCTATCTATCGATCGATCGATCGATCTATCGATCTATCGATCTATCGATCTATCGATCTATCGATCTATCGATCTATCGATCTATCGATCTATCGATCTATCGATCTATCGATCTATCGATCCATCGATCTATCGATCTATCGATCTATCTCTATCTATCGATCTATCTATCGATCTATCGATCTATCGATCTATCTATCTATCTATCAATCATTCTATCTATCTATCTATCCATCTATCTATCTATCTATCTTTCTATCTATTCTATCTATTCTATCTTTTCTATCTATTCTATCTATTCTATCTATTCTATCTATTCTATCTATTCTATCTATTCTATCTAATCTATCTAATCTATCTAATCTATCTAATCTATCTAATCTATCTAATCCATCTAATCCAAGTAATCCATCTAATCCATCTAATCCATCTAATCCATCTAATCCATCTAATCCATCTAATCCATCTAATCCATCTAATCCATCTAATCCATCTAATCCATCTAACCTATCTAATCTGTCTAATCTCTCTATCTAACTATCTATCTACCTACCTACCTATCTACCTACCTACCTACCTATCTATCTATCTATCTATCTATGTCTATATCTATACATCTATCTATCAAGTATATGCCAGATAGAATGTCAGAATCAGAATACAGGTCGGATAGAATGTACTTTTTCCCGACTGCATAGCAAGGGTTCCCGTTTCACTCTGGGGGTCTGGGGGTTGAGGGTGTTTTCGCTCGACGTTGCGTTTACGTTAGTCGCAACCGTCCGCAACCATCGGCGCGAGGACACTATGGCCATGCCTATGGCGAGTGTTGCAAAAGTTGTCACTTTTGGAGGTTTCAGACGTCGCAGAGCCTCGTTTCACCTGGCAGGCGTGGCACTTTGTGACATTCCAACATGTTTCAGAACGTATCGAAAGTCGTTTTGTGTGGCAGGCGCAACCTTTGCTACGTTTTCAAAAGATGCGTTGCATTTTTCGTGGCAGGCGCAACGCATGGTCATTTTGCGTGGCAGGCGCGGCGCTTTAGACGTGTGATGTTGCGTGCTTTTGCGAATCGCATTGTCAGGGCTGCGTCAAGTGGTGACAAGGTGCAAATCGCGTGGGAGGTGTGGCATTTTGTGAGATGTGCTGAACATTGACGGAAGCATCGCACGAAACATCGATTTTGAGGTAGCAAATTTTGAAGTTCACGAGAAAACTCGTAGGAAAACGTCGATTTTGTCGCTACAAAGTGTGAAAAAATGGAGGGCTTGCACGAAATGCTCGTTTTGAGGCTGCAACATGTCTCATCTCGATTCTCTTGATTCTCTGGCTTTCAATTGGCGCCGCCATGTCTCCGGGGGAAGCTGCAAAAGTTGCATGTGTCGTGGCATGAGCAGCACTTTGGAGACCTCCATTGTCATTTTGCGTGGCAGGCGCAGCACTTTAGACGTGTCGTGTCGTGTTGAGTGTTTTTTGCGAATCGCAATGTACGGGCTGCGTCAAATGGCAACAATGTGCAAATCGCGTGGCAGATGTGGAATGTTGTGACATGAGCTGACACTGCACACTCCACACTCCACACTCTACACTCTACACTCCACACTTTACACTTTACACTCTACACTGTACACTTTATACTCCACACTTTATATTCCACACTTTACACATTACACTCCACACTCGACACTTTACACTTTACACTCCACACTCTACACTTTACACTTTACACTCCACACTCTACACTTTAAACTTGACACTCTACACTTTACACTCTGCACTTTGCACTTTACACTCCACACTTTTTACCTTACACTGACTCCACACTTCACACTTTACACTTTACACTTTACACTCTGCACTCACTGCACACTTCACACTTCACACTTTACACTCCACACTTTGCACTTTACACTCCACACTTTTTACTTTACACTCCACACTATACATCTTACACTCCACGCTTTCCACCCTTTCACTCCGCACTCTACACTCTACACTCCACACTCTGAACTCCACACTCTACACTCCACACTCAACACTGTACACTTTACACTCCGCACGCCACGCTTTACACTTTTCACTCAACACTTCGCACTCCACACTCTACACTCCACACTCTACATTTTACACTCCACGCTCTACACTTTACACTCTACATTTTATACTCCACACTTTAAACTTTGCACTTTACAATCCACACTCTACACTTTCCACTTTACACTTTGCACTTCACACTCTACAGTTCACACTTTCCACCCCACACCCCGCACCTTAAACTTTACACCCCACACTCACACTCTACACATTACATTCCCCACTCAACACTCTACTTTCTTCATACCCTACACTTTGCAGTCCACCCTCTTCCGCATTCCGCAGTCTACAGTGCACTGGTACAGTAACAGGGGGAAAATGCACAAATCACTTGTTGCACAAAAGTGTTTTACGTGGCTGCATTCGGGTTCCTGTGTTCAACCCATGTACAAACTCTCAACGTATCCTTGACCTTAACGGTGGCGACAGATAGGTTGCACCTGTTGACGCGGCAGGTCAAGGGCGAGGATAAGATCATGGCTCCCGAGGAGGTGTCTTCTATGGTTCTGACCAAGATGAAGGAGACACCTCCGCGGAAGATCCATGATGAAGCTGCAATAGGGGTAGACCCAAAATGGCCCAAAACCAGAAACCATGCCATAGACCATCCCAATTTTACTTGACATGGGTGGGATTCAACCATCCCTCACTTGGAGGTTTGCTACTGGGTTTGCCACATTATTAGACTTATATAGCTTGTAATATAATATATCTTAGGTGAGGCTTGGGCGATTGGGTGATAGATGTTCAGTTGCTGAGGTTTTGGGATTGCAATCTGAACTATCACATAAATATACATAAATTACAAATCATTTGAACACTAAAGCTGAATACTTCCACAAATGTTGCAAAGGCTTCCTGTTTGCAATAGAGTCCAGGTTTGGGGGTTCAAATTGTGTTCTCAACAAGTTGTATTTATTTCCACAACCGCATCGATCCACATTGATGTTGAACAGTGCCCATGATTGTAGGATCAACGTTTCCAGACGTGAATGAGATTCTAGAGAGTACAGTGGGTACTGCGCAATGAAAACAATGTGCTGGACCTTCTGCAGACATCGGCAGACACCGTTACGATTTTTCATTTTCGAAACCAGCATTGTCGACACCATCCAATACCACATGATACCACCACTTTTTTAGTACACGGGCAATGGGCAAATGCAGCCAATTCCCTCTACGTTTCAGCTGAGCCATGGGGTGTGTTCCTACTGGTTCAGTGCCATACTGTATGGCAGAACAACACATGATTGACACGCGAATCTTACACTGGAGACTGTTCAGCATGACACTAATGACAAGAAAGGACATGCTCTGACACGAAGTTACTTGCCAGGCAAACATGCGTAAGTATGACTGTTTGGGCATTTGCTGCCTCTCTGCTAGAGTAAGATATTATTGGCAAGATAGATCCAAGGTGATCTAAGACTAAGATGTTGGAAGCATTCAGTCTTAATAGCTGCGAGGACAAACTTGGACAATGTCTTCAAAGAAGAGTATATAAGATTATATATGTATGTCCCTTGCAGGCAGCAGACAGAAAAGTATATATCTTCAAATAAATGGTGTATCTTGCGCGGTGGGGTCCATCACGGCGCTTGTCTCACCGGACTAGTTGCATTCTCAAATTTTGCCACGCGGGGAGCAGGAGACTGCCGAGAACTACTTGGGCAAGGAAGTACGACACGCAGTGATTACAGTCCCAGCATATTTTAACGACGCTCAACGTCAATCGACCAAAGATGCCGGAACGATTGCTGGACTGAACGTCATGCGAATCATCAACGAGCCCACTGCGGCGGCCATTGCGTATGGTGAACCGGAAGCAAATAGTAAGCAATACATAGCAATATAACAATTACATGATTGGCGTGTTGAATCGTTCTGTGGGAATGTGGTTGAATGCGTGTTTGTGTCCCCATGTCTGCGGGGATATCATATGACATGCCTGGTCATTGCGTGCATTCAGCAAGTGAAGCGGGGAGAGGCTGTGAGAAGGTATGCGCAGTGCCAATTTTCGACCTGTTGGGTTGTCCATTGTGCTCATATCAAAGAAACAAATGGTTTACTATGGTTTACTCTTTACCCTTTTCAATCATAAACAAGAAGATTGACAAAGCTTTGCCACCAGGGCTTACTTGAGACGTCGATTCGTACAAGTATGTTTGATCTTGGTATATTCCCGACATTCAGGGATCTCTATGTTGATCTCTTTATATCCTTCCTGCTCCTTTGAATTTCCGCCCCAATAATTGTCACCTGTCTTTGCGTCATAGTGTGCACTTCCATGGCACAAACTGGCAAAAGATGGGAATGCCTTTCATTTGGGTGTCTCTTATTTACTGCACTCCAAGCAGATGTGCAATAGATTGTATAGACATTGAGAGAACATGCAATGGTAGTTACTTATGCTGCAGATACTTTAAACAACTGGTTCTAGCCGAGGTTTGGATAAGAAGACTGAGAAGAACATCTTGGTCTACGACCTTGGGGGTGGTGCCGTGGCCCATTTGTGCATTCCAGTTGGATATCTGGGAACATACTATGTAGCAATATGTAGCGTGTGTGTGTATATATATATATATTATATATATATATGCTACCCCCCCAAAGATCTACCATTTTCAGCTTTTTGTTGATGTCAAAGAGGTAGTATTTGTTGGGAACCTTTTGCAAAAACAAAGTAGGTACACTATCACTTTCAAAAAAGATGAGCACATACTCAGGTCAGAAAGCACAACATTTCTTGAAGGAAGCAATCTGTTTTAAATTGCAGCGTTCCTTTCCATGCTTGAAAAAAGGCAACTTCATTCATAAACTGCAATTTTCCTTCCAGATAAAGTATGACTTCGTTCAAGAAACAGTACCCCTACACAATATATATATATAGAGCATTCCTCTAAACATGCAGCGTTTTCTTTCTGAAGAAGTGCAGTCTTCCTTTCAAACTAATATTAAGCCTTCCTTCAATCATACAGTATTTCTTTCAAAACACCAGATTCTAACATTTTGGATATGTATGTGTTTTTGACGCAACAGAGTAAGAATAATACTGTATCTTGATCAGCAATTTTTAATCTACAATGAATATAGCTTCATTATAGATTCCATATACTTTAATGTACCAGTGAATTGACCATAAACATATCTTTAATAAACCTTTAGTAAACCTTTGGCATACCTTCAATATCCGCTTTTAAATACCATCTAAACAAAAACTTTAATATACCATCCAATATACCTCTAGCATTCCATTGGATAACGATGAAGCTACCTTTAATATACAATTTAACTGGCCTTGAAAATACCTTTTGTATACTTAAAATATACCTTCAATGCATAAAACTTCACTATACCATTTAATTTACCTTAGATATACCGTTTTATTGGCCATGAAAACATCTTTAATACACCTTTAGGATACCTCTCTACCTCTAGCATACCTCTAGCATACCTTTTTTTCCCATTTAATTTGTCTTTAATAAACCTTTAATGTACCATCTATACTTAGCTTACCATTGAAGAATCGTTAATATTCCATTTGATATACCATTACTATATGATGAAATATGATTTTGGCATACCATTTTATATATCATGCATCTACCTCTAATATACCATTTGATTGACTTTGAAAATACCTTTACATAATATATCTTTAGTATACCATCTAATCCACCTCTAATATACCATTTAATATACCTGTAGTATACCTGTAATATTCCAGTCTAGCCATGAATCTATATAATATATTAATATATATATATATAGTATATCTTTAAGATACCTGGACCTTGTGTTTTCATTAAAAATGTTGCTTACTACACCTTTAATATTCCTTGAAGGTATATACCGTATTATATACCTTTAATATACCACATAATTGACCTCGCACATACCACACCTCTAACATACCTTTTATTTAGTCAAAGCCTGGATTCAAGAAGTTTCCCCCAGAATCTTGAATCTTGAATCTTGAATCCAGGAAACTTTGCAAAGTTTTGGGAAGTGCATATGCCTGTGTATATGTATACATGCTTATTTAAATAAATATATATATATATATATGGTCCTCCCTTTTAAAGAATTACTCGAGTATCATCCCAAACCACAAGATTTCAAAAAGGTAGGTCAAAAATGGTAGATCTTTGGGGGGGTACCATATATATATATATATATATATAGACATAGATATGCCAGCGAGGCATGGTAGGCCAGGACAGTACATGTGCAACATCGAGTCATAGAGACTAGAGAATTGGAGTGGTTCAGTCGGTTCAGTTGCCAGGTACCTTCGACGTGTCGCTGTTGACCATCGACAACGGTGTCTTCGAGGTGGTGGCCACCAACGGAGACACCCACTTGGGCGGTGAGGATTTTGATCAACGCGTCATGCAGCACTTCATGAAGATCTTTCAGACACGCGGAAAAGCAACGGTTGGATGGTGGTGATGGTTATGGATTGGCAGAATGAAAATGGTTTCAACGTTTCATTCCGTCTGGTTTGATGCACTACCAAGTTTGTTTTAATCCAGTTCCACTGTCATATTTGTTGGGTCGGGATTCATGGTTACAGCTTTTCAACCTTGCCTTGGATATACCGACCAAGGAAGAAACACGGCAAGGACATGTCCAAAGACAAGCGTTCCATTCAGAAGTTGCGACGCGAGGCACAACGAATCAGGGTACGCTGATATTCAGTGGACAAATGACACCACTTGCTAAGTGACAGCAAAGTTAGTGATTTGTGCGGTAGACTTTGGTGACGCCTGAATTACTTTTACGGAAAGTGCGTTTTCCAACAAAACGTCCAAATCACTTCCAGTCATAGTTGATAGATTTATCATGATATAGATATAAGATAATATAGTGTTCATCCAGGTGTTTCTCCATCCCAGCAGATTTTTCCCATCCCCCAATCCATCCCCAACCGTTGCCCGGCCGCAGGTGGAGAAGGCCAAGCGCGCGTTGAGTTCCACCCACCAGGCGCGCGTGGACATCGAGGCCTTGTACGACGGCGTGGACTTCTCGGAGACCTTGACCCGGGCGCGCTTCGAGGTGAGCCATAGGGGGTTGATGTGGGAAGGGCAAAAGAACAATGATTCGATGATCATATCATGTTAGAAAACGTTCTATGAATGTTGCTATGATATGTGATAATATATGAGAAGTTACACAGAAACCTGTCTTGGGGTTGGGAATGAGAAGAACAAAATGCCGTGGCTTGGTGATTTTTACAAAGTGAGAAGGAAGTTTAGGATTGCTTCTGGTTCGTTTGGTCAGGCAGTCCGATCATTGAGCTGCCATCCAACAGACAAAGCAGCGATGTGTTCCCACAGGAGCTGAACGCTGACCTGTTCAAGAACACCCTGAAACCTGTGAAGCAGGTCCTTGAGGATTCAGGCGGGTGGCTGTTGTGTTCAAATCTCCAGCAACCCGCACCATCTTAGTCAAAAAAAATATCACGGCGCCATCACGCACTTGTGGACACCACTTGTGGTTTGAGCTGGAGATGCCTGTTGCCAGGCTTGAAGAAGAATCAGGTTGATGAGCGACTTGGTTGGAGCAATGAGGCACCATCGTCTCAGGCTGCAACCATCTGCAACCTGTCCCTTTCGTGCACGCTTCATCCGACTCGTCAATGATCACATTTCAGCTGACCAAGTTGTAGAATGTTTTCTTCATCAGTGCTTGTGGTACCCCCACGCCATTGGTTTCGCCATTGGTTGTGGTTTCCACTGGCTTTTCCCAATGGTTTCCCATCGCGACCACTGGATTTTGGCCCAGGATTGTGCTGGTGGGTGGCTCCACTCGTATCCCGAAGGTGCAGCAGTTGATCAAGGCCCGTCACGACGGTCACGACGAGTGAAATCAGTCCGCGACACTGACAGGGAAACTCCTATCTAGAATAATTCGATACAGATATTTATGGATTTTACATGATTCTACAATATCTGAATATCTTATAGATTAGGGATGATGAAGGTAACGAAAAAGGGTTGCTGCACTGGATGCTCAACTTGCAACATGTGATTCTGAATGTATTATATTATTAATATTAATACGTGATTATACATGGCACTGAAAGTTCTCCCGTGACATGCTGTGCCCAGGACTTCTTCAACGGCAAGGAGCCCAACCGAGGCATCAACCCTGACGAGGCTGTGGCCTATGGTGCTGCTGTGCAGGCAGGAATCTTGAGTGGCGAAGGTGGACACGACATGGTCTTGCTGGATGTGACTCCTTTGACCTTGGGCATTGAGACTGTGGGAGGCCGGTGATGTGGATTTTGGTGGGGTGAATTTGGTCCGGTGATGTCCGGTGGGTCATGTTGACCCAGCACTGTGCAAGATGCAGCACGAACACGGCCTGCAATCGGAGTCCAGGGGTTGGAAGTGTCAGATAATCAGCAGATAATGATGATAAATGATGATCATGGACAGGTTTGATTATGCTTGATTTACTGGAGTCTCAGGGTCCTATAGGGTCCTGTGACTTCAAACGTGGCTGGTTTTCTGTGGCGGCCTCCAGGTGTCATGACGAAGCTCATCTCCCGAAACACGGCAACTTGGTGGTGCATGGGGGTGCTCATAGCTGTCCCATTTGTGCAGGGCCCATTACTTGCTTGGAAGCCCCTGTTACGTTTTGGAAAAGTGTAGCCCCGTCCTTGGATTCATTCAATGGCAGTTGCGCTACCAATGTTATACCAATGGTATGCCCTTTGAGCACTCATACAGTGCGTCAAACTGACCCTAGTAGGCCCTAGTTACATGTTGTCTCCCAATCATGGGCAACTGAATGCTCTGTAAGTTGTCTACAGGCTCGACAATTGAGCTGCAGCGGATTGCTCTCAGGTGATTCCGACCAAGAAGTCACAGGTCTTCTCCACATACCAAGACAATCAGCCAGCAGTGAACATCCAGGTCTATGAGGGTCGCTTGTCTGGATGATTTGATGATATGTGATGATATTTGATGGACCCCTTTGGTGGGTTATGTTATGCAACACGGTGCAGTATATTGAGATATAATGAAACTGTATTCGAGTGCAAAGCATTGTGTGATATCAACACATTGTTCAACATTGCAAAAAAAACGCCGTAAAACAGCAACTGGTAATGTCACCATGATAATCCAGTGGTTGCTCCAACATGTTCAAAACACAGCATTGGCTCTTCAGCTACGCTCAAGTCCATTGCCGAGGTGAACGACCCATGACCAAGGACAACCACTTGCTGGGCAAGTATCTTGCCATCAGACCAGAAAGGAAGTAAATCTGTAGTTTGATGACGTATAATTTGACTATATTATATTATATTAAATATTAACTAATATTGTATAAAATGATCGTCTTTTTTTATTTGCAGATGCATGATCATGGATGAAGCATTGCCCAACTCCCAGCATTGTTGCAACAGATGGCACAGATGCTTTGGGTTTGCACGTGCCTGTTCATCATGAGCATAGCTAAAGCACAAGCTGAACTGCCACCATCGTCAGGTTTGAGCTCGGCGGTATCCCTCCAGCTCCCCGTGGTCAGCCACAGATCGAAGTGACCTTTGAGATTGACTCCAACGGCATTTTGAACGTTGGCGCGGAAGACAAGGGCCCCTCGGCGTGAGCAAAAGTCTATGTCGTTGAGGCGGCAATCCTTGTTGGTACTTTATATACATTCCTCTCAATAGAAAAGAAATGTAACATGAAAGAACATGTGTCCTCCTTGTTTCACACCGCAAACCACCCAACTCAGCTATCATCTCTGGTCGTTTGTGGTTCCATATATTTTGCAATCATTCCCCAGTGACCGTCCCAGTGCCCGTTTGTGACACAGCTGAGGCACCGGAAAGTCGGAGAAGATTACCATCACCAACGACAAGGGCCGATTGACCGAGGAACAGATCGAGAAGATGATCCGCGAGGCCGAGGAGTTTGCGGATGAGGACAAGAAGGTCAAGGAGAGAGTGGATGCCAAGTACCTTGGAAAAACATGGTGGAGATATCGTGACCCACATGGGGTTGCGGAGAAATGGGATATGAATGGATATGATCCCTTAAGATATCTCAAGTGATGATATGTGATGATATGTGATGATCAATTTTATGGGGAAAATGATGGTAATCCATGAATAAACAGTTTTTCATCAGTTTTTCATCAGTTGAATCCAGTTGATGTTCGTGTCCTATTTTTGGACTCCCATGGGACAATGGAACCCACAAGCCACACATGGATTAGTTGCGACGTGTGATGGGATCCCGGAAGGCCACCTTGGGTCGTTGCATTGCTGTTGCTCGAAGTGCTTTGTGTCGGAACAGATTGACGTCGATTGACGTGAATATGTATGACAATGTATGAGTCGTATGAGCGTATTATGATGTATTCTGTGCAAAATCTTGCAAATTAGTATGGTCACCACAGCCATGCTTGGAGCCAAAATGAAGCGTCAGCTCCAAGTTGATGACCACATGCCTTTTTGCCACTATGCCGTTCTGCTAGGAACGCCTTCGACGGCTACATCCATTCTATGCGATCGGCCACAGAAGGCTCTGGGGACAACAAAGGCCTTAGCGAAAAGATGGACTCCGATGAGAAGGAGACCATTCTGGACGTTCCTAGCCACATTCGGGCAGAGGAAACTATCAATCTATCAGAATTGCTGTGATTGTGTATGTGTGATGGCATGATCATGGTTACTGATGGTTAATTACTAGATGTTTCCTCTGGATGTTTCCTTTGGGTTGCTGGAAGATGTTCATCCAGATTTCCATTGAGGCTTTGAAGGATGGCCAGTCTTGGTTGGATTCCAACCCAGAGGCTGATGCAGAGGAAATCAAGGAGAAGCATAAGGAGATCGAGGGAATCTGCGCTGCTCAGCATTGACATGCCGTTTCCATGGAGTTCTGTGTGGAAATGGGGGAAATGGCCAATTATTAGATAGGGATCATATGGGATAATAATGATAATCGTATTTTTTGAGGTACCCTGTTTTCGGACAAATTCATTTTGATCCAAGATAGATTACACCATGGGTATGATTCAGTATGATGCAAGACTGGGGAGGGGTCTTAACATACACCAAGCCATTATCTACTCATACAGACGATCAAATCGAGGATAATGTTAAAGCTGCAAGGATGCAGCATTAATTTTTGCTACTTGTAGTAGCTAATATATGCTAGTATTGTATTGTAATTTCACCAGATCAAGTTGTTTTTCTCAATGGTCCTGGCGACGACAACGACATGGAATTTCTGCTGGCACCGTCTCATGCGTTCCTTGAAGCTGTCACTGTCGTAAGGCCCCAATCGTCTCCAAGTACTACGGAGGAGGCGGTGCATCTGCTGGAGGGGATGAAGATGAGGAGGAGGCCCATGACGAGCTGTGAGGCAGCCATGAGGCTCTGCGCTGAGTTCTTTGATGAGTCAACTTGAATTCTAGAAGTGTTGTGCATTGTACCATGGTCTTACACCATGTTATATGCGTTATATACTTGTACAGCAGTTTTGGCAGACTCGTGCTGCAATTCACTGAATACAGACCCCGGGCAATGCCCATAAGCGTTGTCTGCGTCTAGCAGCGACAAAAAAAGAGCGGCCGCGTGACACCACGACCGGCCGCGGCATGGAGAATGCGTACATCTTCGGTCGATTTCGGTAGTGCATTTAGCACAAATGACATGATGTGATGTCATGTGTGACATAACCCAGCAATATGGATGCAACGAAGACGTAGGATGCAGTAATACATTCATCATTGTTCTTTGATTTCATAGGATAATCACCAACTTTGGAAACATGCGCAATAATTATAATGATTGCCAGAAGGGAAAGTCCCTTCAATTTCCAAGACAACTATTCCAGGTGTGTTGCTACGATGTAGTACATGTACAGACACCATCGTCGACTTCTGCTCCACAAACTCGACAGAGTATGATCCGCCAAACAGGATGCCCGGAAAATGAAGGACATGAAGTCTCAAAAACTTGAAACAGATATGAATATGACTTTGCATGTGTCTCTCCGCGTTTTTGGGCTATCTCTTTAAAAGCTGTGTTGCAATTATTGTCCCCAGGTTTGGGAAAATGTTTACCCCCAAATTGCTAAACATTGGGAAGTTTTGTCCCTAAGATCTTAGGGACAACAGCCACCAAACTTAGGGACAATAATTATATACCCAAACTTGGAAAAGTAGCTCTCAAGAAAACGTGGTAGAGTGCCATGATAAAATATGATGATTCAATACCATTCAAGCATCCGAGATCTTGAGTATAGAGTCAAGAATACATACCTGAATCATCCTGAATCCATGTCGCTTTGTCTCTAAATCCAGCATTTCCTGTGCTTTCCTGTTAGATTTCTCGTCAACATATCACAGCAACATCGCCAGGATGTGGATTACCATCTCCGCCAGTGGGAACAGACCGGCACAGGAGCCAGCACGAGGGAATTGTCCCAGCACTGGTAGTGTTGCATACCTACAGTAATTATTGTATGAATTTGTATTGAATTTGTATCATATGATTTCCTCAAAGGTCATGCCATCAACGTGGGCCGCTTTTGTCCACGGATCAAAACAAGATTGAGGCGAGGCCGAGAAGCGTTTGGCACAGGATCCACCCAAAGCAGGATCTAAAGGTCAACCAGGAAATCTGTTCGAGGTGCGGCGGCCAAAGGTTGCAACATGTTGCAACATGGGTTAAGTGAGACGCACAATTTCTCAAATCTATACCATGCTTGGCCATGTTTAGTTTAGTATTCAATAGTATTCAACAATCCATTTTGGTGTGCTACTATTGTTTGCTGTCTTGTTGATTTTTTCAGGCATTAGCTAGGGATTGCAGCACTCCCCGCCCATGGTTGTGAGAGACTGGGGCACTCTGTATGCAGATCTGCAGCCATGAGTTTCTGTTGCAACTTTGTCAACGAGTGATTTCTGTTTGCAGATGCTGACCAAACGTTAACTGAACGTGGACTACTGTAGCTGACCAACATTGAAGCGAGTCTGCCTACGTTGCAGGATACTCACAAGATGAAAGTGGACGCAGTACTCATCGATTTGTCCTGGTTCTTAAACCAAAACCACGGTAGAAAAAGTTGGAATTTCCAAAGCAAAATGCAAAACCAAATCACCCAGCCTGCAAAGACCGTTGACCTCGGGGCTACTTTCCAGTTTTATGGTGTCCACTGCATTGACTGCATTGCAGGTTTTGCTTCAAGCAGCTCTGGAGTCTGACAATCGGTGCGGTCAGACGGTCGAAACCTGTGGTACTTTAAAGATCTTCAAAGACTGTCTCGGATGTTGTAGATCACTTCATGTCTTAAAGATCTTCTCAACTTTCCTTTGCTTCTTGAAGACCAGGCTGGAAGAAAGTGCCTGCATGCTCAGCTTGTTATTCAAGTGGGCTTAAAGCCTTACGGATCTGAGCCAACAGAAATGGCAGGTTCAACTACCGTTTCACGGATGATTGCATGTCCTTGACTTGGGGCTTGATGCGAACCACCTTGCTCTTTGCCACCTTGCACCGGGGCCCAGGTTTGCACTGATGCTCGCAGTCTGTTGGAAGAAGTGGTACATCATGGTATATCATCACGAAACTATGAGGGCCCAAAGATCTCAAATGTCAACTCGCACATCTTCGATGTGATTCGTTGATTTGGATGCACAGCTAATATCATCCAAGAGCCAAAATGTATCAAATGATCCCCCATGTATAGCTCACTATAAAGTGGACATCCTTTGCGCTTATAAAGTGGGTTTCCGGTCGCCACTTTATATACCGACAATGGGGGATAAAGCCGTGTTTTGCGCGAGAAACATGCCCTTGGACCTGGAAGATGACTTTATTGCAACGTTGGCTTTCCAGTTTATACCCGGCTGGTTCCCCACAAGGAAACGACTCAATATATGCGGCAATGCATTTTATAGACCGTTGGTTCCCTTCAAAGAATGGCCATAATATGTCACACCATCCACTTTATAGAAACATGTCTCCCCAATGATTTCGGGCCAATATCTTTCTGTTGGGGCTGTATACATGGCAAAGCACTTTATAGAGTGAAACTTGCCCTTTAAGAAGAAGAATTTGTGCTGCATCCAGGGCACTTTATAGAAAGAAAATTGCGGCAGAGCATTTTATAGAGTCATGAGATACATCACCCAAATCACTTTATAGAGCTGCCCAGGACCCCATTCACCCTGAGGACCCCTTCACCCTGAGGACCCCTTTCAAGGGAAATCTTCTTCTCTATAAAGTGGCCAGTCCAGGTAAAACCCCTGAAAAAACAGAATCTATGTTGGACTGGCCACTTTATACCCCCTCCCCAAACAGAGAATGCCTCTATAAAGTGGCCAGTCCAGGTAAAACCCCTGAAAAAACAGAATCTATGTTGGACTGGCCACTTTATACCCCCTCCCCCAACAGAGAATGCCTCTATAAAGTGGCCAGTCCAGGTAAAACCCCTGAAAAAACAGAATCTATGTTGGACTGGCCACTTTATACCCCCTCCCCCAACAGAGAATGCCTCTATAAAGTGGCCAGTCCAGGTAAAACCCCTGAAAAAACAGAATCTATGTTGGACTGGCCACTTTATACCCCCTCCCCCAACAGAGAATGCCTCTATAAAGTGGCCAGTCCAAGTAAAACCCCTGAAAAAACAGAATCTATGTTGGACTGGCCACTTTATACCCCCTCCCCCAACAGAGAATGCCTCTATAAAGTGGCCAGTCCAGGTAAAACCCCTGAAAAAACAGAATCTATGTTGGACTGGCCACTTTATACCCCCTCCCCCAACAGAGAATGCCTCTATAAAGTGGCCAGTCCAGGTAAAACCCCTGAAAAAACAGAATCTATGTTGGACTGGCCACTTTATACCCCCTCCCCCAACAGAGAATGCCTCTATAAAGTGGCCAGTCCAGGTAAAACCCCTGAAAAAACAGAATCTATGTTGGACTGGCCACTTTATACCCCCTCCCCCAACAGAGAATGCCAGTCCAGGTAAAACCCCTGAAAAAACAGAATCTATGTTGGACTGGCCACTTTATACCCCCTCCCCCAACAGAGAATGCCTCTATAAAGTGGCCAGTCCAGGTAAAACCCCTGAAAAAACACATTTTTACCTGGAATGGCCACTTTATACCCCAGCCAGTGGGCTCCAGGACTTTGACCCGGAAACGGAAGGACTGACAACAAGGTAAAGGGGGAAAACTACAACGGAGAGGTACAACGGGAAGGCTACCACAAGAAAATGAGACATGTCACGTTTATATACGTTTATTGTTTTCAATGTGTCATATAGATTGGCGATGATTGGTATATTGAATATGTTGTAGATGTATTTTGGAACATATGTATACCTATGATTTACACATCAATATAAATATATATAAATCATAAACACATGCCAAACCAAAAACTTTTAGCTGAGTATTGTATTCCCAATCTGTTGGCAAATGTCCAGCCGATTCACCATGCGTAACCCAACAAGATTCAAACTATGGATTGTTTACTTTTGAAAAAAAATACTGGGTGAATCTACGTATATCTATGACGACAATCTCCCAAAATCATCCTAAAAATCTATGGACATCTATGGACCAAAACCACGGCCACATGCCCATCCTCTATAAAATGGTTTGCAAGAAAGTTCAGCTCTATAAAGTGGCTTGATCACGTCATTTCTGGCAGCCCCACCCTCTGTATAAACTGGCCGGTCCATGCCCATCCTCTATAAAATTGTTTGCAAGAACCAGTAAAAACATATTTTCGAAAGTAAACAATCCATAGTTTGAATCTTGTTGGGTCACGCATGGTGAATCGGCTGGACATTTGCCAACAGATTGGGAATACAATACTCAGCTAAAAGTTTTTGGTTTGGCATGTGTTTATGATTTATATATATTTATATTGATGTGTGAATCATAGGTATACATATGTTCCAAAATACATCTACAACATATTCAATATACCAATCATCGCCAATCTATATGACACATTGAAAACAATAAACGTATATAAACGTGACATGTCTCATTTTCTTGTGGTAGCCTTCCCGTTGTACCTCTCCGTTGTAGTTTTCCCCCTTTACCTTGTTGTCAGTCCTTCCGTTTCCGGGTCAAAGTCCTGGAGCCCACTGGCTGGGGTATAAAGTGGCCATTCCAGGTAAAAATGTGTCTTTTCAGGGGTTTTACCTGGACTGGGCACTTTATAGAGGCATTCTCTGTTGGGGGAGGGGGTATAAAGTGGCCAGTCCAACATAGATTCTGTTTTTTCAGGGGTTTTACTGGGACTGGCCACTTTATAGAGGCATTCTCTGTTGGGGGAGGGGGTATAAAGTGGCCATTCCAGGTAAAAATGTGTTTTTTCAGGGGTTTTACCTGGACTGGCCACTTTATAGAGGCATTCTCTGTTGGGGGAAGGGGTATAAAGTGGCCATTCCAACATAGATTCTCTTTTTTTCAGGGGTTTTACCTGGACTGGCCACTTTATAGAGGCATTCTCTGTTTGGGGAGGGGGTATAAAGTGGCCAGTCCAACATAGATTCTGTTTTTTCAGGGGTTTTACCTGGACTGGCCACTTTATAGAGAAGAAGATTTCCCTTGAAAGGGGTCCTCAGGGTGAATGGGGTCCTGGGCGCGCCGCGCGCGCGCGCCAAAAAGGTCTCAAAATTGGAGCCATTTTGGCGCGCGCGCGCGCGCGCGGCGCGACCAGGACCCCTTTCACCCCAAGGACCCCTTTCAAAGGAAAGTGTGTTAGAGGCATTCTCTGTTGGGGGAGGGGGTATAAAGTGGCCAGTCCAACATAGATTTTGTTTTACCATAGATTCTGTTAACGACTTCGATATAGATATTTGTCTGGCTGTCGGTTTCGTTCGGTTTCGAAGTCATTCGAAGTCTTTTGGGTTCCCCATCGATGAGATCGATGATATTCCCCCAAGGTTTGAACGTGTCCCCTCAACTTTATAGACAATCATGTCGATGCTGCCATCGTCGCGATTAAGAAAATCATCGCTACTACAACGATCGTTGTTTAGCCGGAAATCCACATTATAGTGCCACTGTTCTGCACAAGTATTACTATCTGGATGTTCGGCATCTCACTTTATAGTCATGGGACATGTTCACAAGTACCCTCAAAAACCTGCATCGAGTTTTATGTTTTTACGCGGCCAGGCGACTTTATACAAACGTTGGATTTTGACTTTATAGACAAAACATGTTGGCTTTCCACTTTATAGACTCCAGACATGTGGCCATTCCAGTTTATACCAGGCTATTCTCTATAAAGTCGGCCGCAAAGCATCTAGCGGGCTATACATGGGGGATATCAAATGTAGATTGCCAAGATGTCATACCCAGACTCCCAGTGCTATCAGTGCCTTGGGAATTGGTGGAGAATCAGTTTGCCCCAGCAAAAGTGTTGATCATTTGGTGGATCTTGTTGGTCATCATATCCACCAAGGCCTTCGTCTGTGATCGAAGCATCTGAGTTTTGTCTCTTCATGTGGGTCTGGCTTCCCAAGCTGGTTGGATTTGGTTCTGGTTGGGTTGTTGGGATGACTATCGTGTGATTCTTTGCCGCTGTGGCGGACGCAGATTGAATCAAATATCTTCGGGATGTTCAGAAGGAGATTCAGCACAGTAGGAGGATCTATGGTTCCTCATGATAGTATTTCACTGGATTAGGCCACAACTCTGTTGAAACTTGAAGCCTCACGTGTGATATGTCATGCTAAAGCATCAGGTCCTTCCATGCAGACAGTCGAACTTCATGTTCCAGATGAGTTTTTGCTATTCAGTGTGAACATGATCTTGTTGATCTTGTTGGCCTGTCGATATGATCCAATTCCAGGTCCAAAGAAGCAGATATTTTGGAGGGAATTTTCTCCTGGAGCCATGTTGGGGTCGCCATACTGGCATCCCTTGGGAGGTGTTACATGCCTTCCTGGTCTTGGCCTTTGGGGTCTTTGTGGACGTGCTATGGATCGGGGTGCGCCAAGGGTGGGATTGTTTGTGTTCACCCAAAGAGAAGCTGGTGAGTGTCCACTTGGCTCGGCACTCTTCCTATGTTCGAAGATGTTTGAAGCAGGCTGCAAAATTAGCAAAATCGGACAGCACGTGATACGACAAATGTATACAAATGTGTTCGGAGTTGTCAGGTCCGATTGGGAGAATGATAGCCCAACTGTGTCTATTTTCTGCAGGTGATCTTGCTTTCGTTCCTGTGGCAGGGTAGCCCAAGAAAGATATGGGCAAGTCCTATGGTATTGCTTGGTATTTACCCTTCGGAATTACACATCCTCCGGTTTCATACAAGGTCTCTAATATCAGAGTCTAACTATTCAAGAGGCACACCAGCAGCAACTAACAGCAACAGCAATCGACAGCAACTGCCATGGCGGGTTTGGTGGATTTAACTTGATTTAACTGCTTCTCTTTATCTTCTCGTGGTGCTTTCATGAACTGAATGATCACATCCAGGACTAGCTTTCTTGAAACAGTGTCCAACTTAGGTTCCCAATGGTTCCCATATATTTCCATTCAAAACATTTCAAAACCAGGTTCTCTAGTGATTCTCTAGTATGCAATCCAAAATTCATGAAAATTCAACCTGTGGGGTTCTTCTTGGTTCTTCCGGGCCATTGATCCAAGGATCTTGGCGAAGGCAACATCTTTCTCAACCATTCTGCTGGCCGGCATGTTCCAAATCCCAGCCACCAACCTCCCCACAAGTACTGTAAGTACAAACGGATCAAACGGCTGCTGTTGTGGAAATTGACTGTCAAGAGTTGTTTCGGAAAGAATGAGGCTGTTGCTCCCCTTTACTGCAAATGGTTTATGAATGTTTATGATTTCTTGTTGTACGTCTCTGTTTCTGGTTGTATCCATGCCGCACGCGCTTCGTTCATTCCGACAGATGTCGCCTGCGCCGATGTCGAAACCTGTCGAAACCACCCAGGCTCTTCTTCTCCTTCTTGGACACCGTTTCGAAGGTGCATATGGGGTGGTGGAAAATCTGGTTGGTTATAAGATGTTATAAGCATGACTACAGCATGACACATAGAAAGCACATGAAAGCATAAGAAACCTGAAAAGATCCTGCAACCTGAACTTGACAAGAAGTTATCCCACAAGCCCAGCTTGACATTTTCGGACCCTGATGGAGATGACCAGCGCAGGTGTTACTCTTCCTCAGTCGGAGATGGCGAAAATTGCCAGGACGTGGCAGGTGCCATGAACATTGAGTTGGGAAGCGGTTGGATGGTTAGATGTACATATAATTATATATATAAAATAGATATCCCTGATATCCCCTGTATTTGCTGGGATACCTGAGAAAATGCAAGGTGAATATCTAGCCCGAACACACCACACTGAAATCATCAGACATCGAGACACTCTTAATCTGACAAGTTGTCACCTTGAAGCCTTGAAACTAAGTATTTTCCCGGTAGGCCAGTCACTGCCAAGAATGTCAAGGTTGGTGCGGGCGCCCAGCCTTTCCCAGGACGCACTGATTCAGGATCAGCCATGGGCCAAGTCATTGGGGTCCCAATGGACTCGACCCACAGCTGGTCATTTTATGTTGGACTATCCTTGAGGGGTGAGAATTTTTGATACATACCCATACCATCCCATACCCGATTACCTGGCTTGACCTCAAGTCGCAGGGTATGGTTCATGTTCTAGTGAGGGATGTTATTCGATGTTATTCGTTCATCGCATGATGACTTATGATTTAGCAAGCATCGAATTGCGGGAGAATTGTTGATATTCTTGGGACCCAACTCGAACTCATGTGTATTCCATGTGCTTCATGCCACATACCATGCCGCCAGGTATGAAGGTTTTGCCTGGGAAGGAGAACCCAACGACGGTGAGTACTTGATGCTGGATGATACTGTAAGTGACATCTATTTGTCCATATGTGTATTGATATGTCTCCTTACAGCCTGGATGGTGTAGAGTTCGGCCATCAACAGAGGGCCATTGCTTGCCTCTCTTCAAGTACTCGATGCACCTGGCCAGTGTCATGGATTGTGTTACTGTAGGTCAAATTCTATGGAGGAGTCAGGATCTAGGCGAAACAAACTCTGCGAAGAAAGGCTTTAAATTAAAGCAATATAGCAAAGCAAAGATGAAGATCCAAATATATTGTGATTCATCATGATACTGTAATTGTATAGACATGACATGACATGACCTGTTTGGACCTCTTTGTGCAGCAAAAAGAAACAGAACACAGAAACATGATGAAACATGATGAAACATGTGCAACAGGGTGCTGACCATTGCTGACCTTTTCGATCACCTGTGAGCATCCGCGATGCCGCTGCATCTTGCAGGATTGGATGTATGATATGAAGAAGGACGATGCCAAGCAGAACGCGGCCTCTGGATGTTCCATGGTACGACCCCTCAGAAAGCGTAGAAAGGGATTGATCATTTCTGATCAGTCAAGCTGATATGTTTCAACTTCGGAAAGTTGTGCTGGCATACACATCAATGCAAGAAATGGGCAATGCAAATCAGAATATATAAACGGTTTTTGCGTACATCATACATAATATATATAATTATATGTTATATAACATAAAAGTCATAATTATTACTATTATTGTAGTAGTAATAATGATATATACAGATGGATCAAAACCTCTTAAAATATATCCTATTTTACCCTATTTGGGGCGGTGAACACTCATAAATCCAAGCTATTTGGGTGTTTACCCTACCGTTTCTTTTTGACCCATACCCATATAGCCAATGTGCCGATGTTTTGCCCCTTCCACTGTGCTCAAACCTTTAGCCAAAGCAGCACAGGTCGGTACCGTTACCAATTGCGATGACTGCCAGGAGAGTAGCAGGGTCAAGGTTCTGAGTGGTTTCGGAGAAGGCTTGCAAAGGGTGAAAGGCCAAGAGCCCAAATTTTCAGTTTGTGAACTATGGTTCGATATGGTTCATCCTCCAGACGGTTGGAAGCTCTTCCCCAAAATTACGGATATCACCGAATCATCGGGCACGTTTGGATCTCACCAGGAGCTGGGCTACTGTGAAGTGATGTGGGTGGCTCCGCTGAATTGGAGATGGAGTCGGCGTTGACACGGATCGATGGTATCTTCTGAACAACGGCTTGATTCGCTTGATTGGTTCCACATTGAAATTTTCAGCCTATGGGGTGTTTTTTTTCCTCATAGAGAATATCAGATTCCTCGCATGTTGCAGTGTCGTTTTGTGAATCTACGTCCAACGAGCCAGGCAATGAACCCCAATGAACCCCACGCAATGGAATGCGCAATAGATGATGGCAGAATCCGAATAGAAACTCTCAACCCACCCAACTGAAAGACTTCAGATGTGGGAGAGAGGCAGCATAAGAACTACGCATAAACATGCACACGCATTAATATACATAAGCCTGCTCGGAACTTCTACGACTAAGATGCACGACAAATTGCCGGATTGTGTCCAAGTAAAGCAAAATGAACTATGTGTGTCTTAACTTTTTGGACTCCCTTGTCCACTGAACTGGATCACCCCCGTTTGAATATGTTTGAAGCCAGCCAGTACTGTATCCTTTCACAAGCGTTTACCGGAGGTGAAATCACATCCTCCCAATTTCCAGCCAATCTTGGTGAGCATCCCAGGTGAACGGCAGCGAAGGCCGTTATCGCATCACCACCAGCTGGCAAACAGCCAGTGACTTGCGACGACATCCAGACTGGTGACTTGCCTTGCTCAGTTGGTGTGGTTCTTTGTGCAGCATAGGTTGTTTCTGTAAGAGAAAACAACGTGTCCAATTTCTAGATGTACGTTCATGGCCGTACGGCACCTCACGTTTAAAAGAATGGAGATGATACCCAAAGCCCGTACCTCAGTGTATCCTCAGTGTGGATTTGCTGTTAAGGTATGCAGTCTGTGTAGAGGCCACTGTGCTCCTTTTCGGTGCCTTGGCTGCTGCAAGCATCCTTGGAAAGTGTGTCGCTGAATTCCAGGTTCCCCGTGAGGTAGAAATGCCCGATTATGCCATGAGTCCCCGTGGAATTTAGCTGAAAAGTTCCCCCAAATTCCGTGGGAAGTTCCTTTGAAATTCCATGCTAAGTTCCCTCACTTCCAATTTTTTGCGGGGAGTTCCCTAGAAATTCTGCGAAGTTTGCTAACCTCCGGGTCAGCTTCCCGAAAATTCTGTTTCAAAGCGAAGGTTTCTTGAAAAAACAAGATGGAAGCCACGAACCCGAATGTATTCACGTTCTTGGGCTACGAGTCCAAACCTCTGCAATAAAAAAGCGAACTCTTTTTTCCACGCATCGTGCGCTCATTGTCGCAGCGAAGGCACCTGATGACAGAAGACTAGATGATTCCAGGGCCAACTTACACAGAGACACAGAAGAACAGAAGATGACAGAATACCAAGGGTTCAAATTTTGCATGTTTGCTATAGATATGTTTGTTCCGTATCTAATGCAAAATTCCAGGTGCCAGTCCGCGCCTTCTACTGCGAAAGTCCATGTGGCAACGCGTCTTCTGCTGCAGTTGGCTGCAATGATCGCAGTCCATCATCAGCCTGCGACAAGGTCAGATGCAAGTTTTTCTGCCACGCCCGCTCTCTAGTAGTTTTTCATCCAGTTCGGCTGACCGTGTGATATGTGCATGGTAATGATCCGTGTAAATAGAATTCCAAAGCTGCTTGTGCAAACTGACCTCTCGACAACATTTGCTGTGTATTTCACCCTGTTTGACAACTGCATTGCTGTGAGAGGAAAAACAAACTATGTCCGATCCAGTTCTGCAGACGGGTTATATCTGTATGGCAATCAATCTCTCTGAAATGTTTATCCATGTGTTGCAAAATGTGATCTGAAAGCTGAGCAGGACTCGTGATCATTTACAAAATGAAACTTGTCCAAGTCACTGCGGTCAAGCGCAAGGCAGCCAGCGCCAGACAGCCAGCAAGGTTTGCACTCCCAGTATCTCAGTGACCGATTGCCGGAGACACGCCAGCAAGACACGCCAGAAAGACAAACCTGGAAGACACTCGTGCAGGACAATCCTGGAAGACATTCCTGTAAGACACTCTGGGAAGACGCTCTTAGAAGACACTCCAGAAACGTTCGCGTGACTTTACTTCTCACTGAGGCCGCGACTTTCATTTTTGATGTTCATCCGTTCAGCTCACAACGCAGGGACTGAGCCACTGCGGTGAGTACATCTCTCCAGTCATGGATTCGCCTTTGTCATTGCTTCCGCCAGAGACAGCGGCAGTTCCGGCAATCGAAAAGCGCTTTGAAATCCACTTTCAAGATCCAGGAAAACAAGTTCAAAATGTTGATAAGAGATGTTGTACAAGCATATGCAAACTTCCGCTCCATCCATGGTGGCTGCGTAAGAATGCAAAACACTCGCAGCACCGAGTGATCCCTGCTGCTTGACTTGAACTGGTTCGTTTCCAAAGATGCAAAAACACACATGTAATTCCTGGGACAAAATGTCCACGTCAGTATGCGTTGCCCAGTGGTTGTTACCGACCTGGCTGATGTTGTCAGCCACAGCTCGCTGCATTTTTGTCAGCACATCCCTGCCTGCATCTATTCTATGCTGCACAAGGTTTGGACTCTCTCCATGCTTGCAATGCAAAATCAATGCGTTGGCTGCGTCCAGCGTCAGGTCATGAACGCTATTGACGCCTTGCAGAAAAGCAAACGGTGTGTTCGCGATCAGCCGCGACATCTTCCAAGAATCCAACCACATACCTGCAACTTCGTTGGCCAAACATGTCGTGGCAAAATCAAGAAACTGTTTGGGACCCCAATTCATAACACCTTGGCCAACAATGCCACGCAAACGTCTGACCATCGCCCCACGACTCACATCAACAGAAAACAGCTGCTCCAGTGACAACGGCAAGTTGTGCTGTTCAGCCCGCAATGTTTCCAATGCTGCCGCCACAGACAAAAAGAAACAGTCGCCGCCAGCGCCGGCATCAGCTGCAAAGGCACGCAATCTGTGCTCGCGTAACAAATAATCATCAGCAGCCCGGGATAAAGTCGACAACCGTAACTGCCAGCTCTGGCAAAACATCGTTCGATCTGCAGTAGATTTTCCAGGCCAGGGACGTTTCCTGTTGCCAACATCTGGCTGCTGAGTCTTTGACACTGCAAGGAGCCACACATTGTCTTCATACACAAAACCACCAGTTTTGTCCAAACCAATCGGCTTCGGCAATTGGTGGGCCGCCGGGAAGCCTGGTAAAGATTGCAAGGCTGTATCCACAGCGACGTGGGAAGCTTCAGCCACATCCTGCCACATGTACCGTGAACGCAACTTGCAACAATGTAATACTTCCCCTTATTTAATTCCGTCCGGTATAAGGTTTCAGCAATTTCACTACGAACAGCTAGAAACTTTCAGACCAACACAATTGTAACACACCGACGACAGCAGCCCCGCCTCCAAACGTTTCAAAAAGTCAGCAATATATTGCGGAGGGCCATGTTCGAAAACATCAAAATCGATGTCAGAGCCACCTGGCAGCATAGGCAGGTTCCTGAATAGGGACCATTCTAAACACGTGGCTCGACCCAGAATCATGTATACGTGTTGGGTATACTCCTCCGCAGTGAAATAATCTGGCTTGTTGAAATCAATAGTATGGCCCATGTTCCGCACAGTTTTGCCTTGTTGATTGTTGTATGTTCCTGCCATCCACGGTGCCAATGGATATTGTACTCGAGTGACATCCAAGAAAATTTCCCCACGTCGACGAATTCGCAAGCGAAATTCGTCTTCGCAGGGATCCAAATGCCAGATGCCAGGCAAGCCTTCACCAGTGTAATCGTCTCCGCGATCTTCAACTCGAATGGTGATGCTTGCAGGCAAGTAATCCAATCGGCAGATTCCTTCGGTCCAACACGGGTGTCCAAGTGGTGGTTGTGACAAGCCAGGTGGGCAGCCTGGAATACCGTATCTTTCTTCCGGATGAACATGGATCGCAACGATCTCTGCAGGGCATTCTTGCACGAGCTCTGGTGCCATCAACTTTTTGGCGATCTTCACGCGAAGTCCAACGTGCAAAGGTGCAAAGGCCATCAAATTGCACGTCTTCGAAGCCATATTGGTAATGGACAAGCACTCTCGCAGTACACTTTGATCAGCGAAGTATTCCTTCTGATGCACCAAATCAACTGCCTGCGCATAATAAATCACCTGCCCTTTGGCAAACAAAAACGATTTCAGTACCTCGGCAACACTCTGCAAACATTGGCCAAACCGACGCTGGAAGGAGCGTCCCAAAGCAGGTGGAAAGTGTCTGACAAACTGTAGCGGGCGACCATCCATCGTGTTCTGGAAAGCATGTACACCAAAACTGCTCCGCGCCGATTCGTAGACAGTGATCTGCTGGAGGCGGGCCACTTGATCCCAATTGATTGCCGAAAACACACCATTGGCAAAAAAACCCGTTGGGCCCACTTGCCGACCGTCACTGTCACGCATAACAAAATTGCTATCAAGACGAGGATCGTTTGCTCTAGGGCGAAACAATTGCTTGCGTATCAAATCTTTGAGTTCAGGAGTCAGTGGGTGGAAACCTTCTTTTCGCATGTTCTCCAGGATCGCTGCCAAAGGGTCACCGGCTTTGAAACGATGGCTGCCTCGAAACAAAATCGTTTGTGGCAAAAAGCGATCGAAAATTTGCAAGCCCCTGCGATCGATCTGCTGCTTGCGCTGGCGCGACTGCTCGTCCATGCGTTCATATGTAGGTGCGCGGGGAACTTCCACTCCAAATATTTCCATCAAAGAATAGTTCAGGACTGGGTTCAATTGCAAAAAATCACCGGCCAGAATTTGGCACAAGATGTTTCCCAATGTATCATGTCCAGCTGAAAAAGCATCGTCAGCATCACGACTTCTCCGAGTCTTCCTCTTCCCCAGTGCCTGAGCCGCCGGAATGGATCCGCCCACCGGGACTGAGCCACTGGAGCACGAATTCAAGAGAGACTGCCTGCCCCAGTGCGCTGCGTCATCCAAAACTGCAAGCAAAGAAGGAGGCGTCAATGAAATCTCATCTAGAAATGCCAGAGCCACATGCTGCCATCGACGCTCCAATGCTTGCATTCTGTCCCGCGACGGCTTCTGTAGGCCGAGCTCCGCAGATCGTTTCAGTGCCGACATATAATGAAACGTCGCACCTGTGATTAAGCGAGCTGCGGAGTTCTGCGCTGCGATGCCTTTGGATGCCTTGGGCAAGAAATGTTCGTAGACAGGCAGTATGACTCGAGTGAGCATATAGGTTTTCCCCGAGCCACCAGGTCCATGCAAGAAGATTCGAGCAATCATGTCCTGAGCACGTCAAAGCGTTCCAGGGTTGAAAAGGTTACGGGGAAAGTAGACACTTTTCAAAAACACCCTAAACATCACCAGGAACCGTTTGTGGCACCGATCTGCGAAGTCCCACAAACAAGCACCACCAAGTAATAGGCAAAAACACAAAAACATGTCAGGACAACTATCTAGCCAAGCACCGGAGTCACCAATGCCAGCAACTCGCGAAGGCGGCCACGTGCGCCGAAACAATGCTGCAGATCATGCTCACCCGCCTTGACCCATAATTTCTGCAGGGGCGCTATCGCCAACACACATGCCTTGTACTGATCTGGCGAGATTTGGTACGTACCATCAGCCTGACGTGTCGGCAGACGTTGTTGCAACAGTCGCAACGCCATGTCAGCAGGAGAGAGAACAAGTACCTCAGTCTCAGGAGCCATGCCCGCGGGAACTTCCAAAAGACTAGCGTTTCCAGGCAAGAATTCATCTTCTGATGCGTCCATCAACTTTTCATCTTTTTCTTTTCGAGATTCTTGTAAAAACTTCTGCGCCTTCAAGCCAGCAACGACGTTGAAAGTAGCACGCCTCTGCACATCCGTGTCAGGAGCCCGTGCGCAAGGACGGGATTCTTTCATATCCAAATATTTTCCACCATATTGACGCAAGAATTCTTCTGAACGTTTGGTGCTGGCACTTGCCCGACCCGAGCCCACGTTCCTGCGATGCACCATGTCAAATAAATCATTGGATGCCACATGCAAGATCGGTTTGTATTGAATGTCCGGTCGAAGAGACGTGTCTTGATCCACATCGTCTGCATCTGGATCTTGAATGTCATCCACATCCTCTACATTCACGAATTCACCTTGTAGACCCACATCTTCTTTCTCATCGGTGGCAGTTGGATGCAAAACACCAGGTCTGGGTCGTCGCCGAGCTTCAGCCATGAAATCCAAATTAGCGGAAATTTCTCGGCTAATGGTGGCGACGTATTCCGCGGCTGTCAGTTGTTCATTATGCCATCCGTAAGAGCATCGCTTTGCAGCAGCCAAGTCTGGTCGATGCAACACACAAGTGTCAAAATGTTCCGGACTATTCCCGAGCAAAACAGCTTCACCGTCCTCTGTCGTCAAATGTCCCACATAATCGAAAATATTTCCAAGGATCCTTTCAGATACCAGCGGTACGGTACTGCAGACTGTCCGCTTGCGCCGACCTTGTTTCCAGGTGCGACGCGTCTTTGGGCGATTTGGCTCTGTAAACATCTTCAGCAAAGACTCCAAGACATCACAGCTTTCCACAGTTCCAGGAACTTTGTATTGGCGCAAAGCAGTTACATCCACAACCTGCAGCAAACATGTGTTTCACACAAGGATATGTCCAAAATAATCAGTTCGATCAGTTGACAAAGCTTGCAAGCGGGAACATCTACACAAGAAGTGATACATGTGTCTATCATACATCTATGTCGTTTATGCAATCGCCAATCCACCAAAATCAAACAATGCAAAATAAACATATGGAAATATCCAGAACCGAGTAGCCGTGGCACATCTACGTGCGCATCGTAGCTTCACCTGTCCCCGGCGTGCTCAAAGACATGTTACAAGTCTTGTCATGGATAAACATGTAACTTTATGAAATTCCAAGCTGACAATGTGGAGCAATGTGATGACTCTTGTGCAACTCGGCACGCCAAAACAAAAACAACCAAACGAAAAAAACAACAAAGAAGCGAAATATTCGAACAGGGCGCATCTGCGCGGTCTGCCAAGCACTGCACACGGGCTTCAGTAGCTTTCCATTCCGCCAACACACCAGTGGAATCTCGCACTATACGAGCATCGTTGCCAGGAGACACCACACGCACACGCGACTTTCCAGGGAAGATGTGAATATGGCGAACAGCGCTCGCCTGACCGCAAACATTCTCATCTTCACAGCAATGTTTTCGAAGTAAGGCAATATGTACGGCAGCCCACATGTCCGGATCTTTCTGTTTTGTGGGCATCGATATTCCATGCAAATAAGGAATACGAGGAGCCGCATGAAGAACCTGCACATGCGTCTTCGCTTTGACATAGTGTTCCGAAAAATCAAACTCACCATGGTCAAACTTGCCAGCTTCCTGTAACGGCACAGCACTGACATGCACTGCATAGACATACAAGTTCATAGAAGCTAATGGCTCTGCGATTCCTCGATGCAAGTAGTCCTCATAGAAAGAAGTGGCCCGCGTGTCCGCTGCTTGTGTCCCTGCAGGCGGCAGCTCAATGTCCTCGACTGCAGCGGTTGTCTGTAGCTCAAACGAATCTGCGAGTTTTTCAGCGTTTCTGCGCATTTCTTCAAACACGCCCCAAAGTACTCGCTTCATCATGATGCGCCAGAAGATGTGCGTCCGTAACACTTCACGGCCTGTCATAAGCTGGAGAGACATGAGACAGAAGCCATGCATGACTGCGTGGTTCGCTGAAGTCCAAAGGCGGCACAAGCGGCGTCGGGCCTCCCGCTGCTCAGCAGTCAAGCCTCGACCTTCTCGCACGGCCGGCAGCGGGTATGCAAGCTGAAGCCGCTGAGCTTCCTCTTGCTCGGCTTCAGCTTGCATTTTCTCCTCCAGATTCTTCATCCCATGAGTCAAATGCTTCAGCATGGGTCCACACGTCATGGAAGGTTTGGTGGTGTAGTCGCAAGTATAAAAACTGGTTTGAATACCAGTGCGAATGCTTTCCACGACGCATTCTTTCACATATCCATGAAGAAGTCTGCATTCCGGGCTCAAAAATCGATCGCCCACTCGATTAGCATCGGCGGCACCTGTTCTCTCAAACTCCAACCGGTACAAAGCCAAACATGTCCGACTCAACCTTTTGCACATGAGGCCATCCAGATACGGTGTCAAAAACTGGGCTGCTCTTTTCTGGGCACGGTCCCTGACCTCCGAGTTGCCAATCCACTGCAAACCCTGGTATGTCCAAAATTCATTAGCAAGAATGAAAGCGGAAGTAATGACAACTCTAAAGCGCACTCGCTGCTGGTGGCCTGTTGCTTCAGATCCAAAAATCTTTGTTTGTCGTGCCAACAAGTCAGTGCCAGGGACTGAGCCACATCTTCCAGACTGCTGGCCTGTTGCTTCTGATCCAATGATCTTTGTTTGTCGTGTCAACAAGTCATTGCCAGGGACTGAGCCACTGCTTCCAGACGACATCGGCATAGAATTTGCGCCCAGATCACGCAACAAGTCAAGTTCCTCCCTGTCAAAGCCAGCAGTCAACGTTCGACGACAATCCTGATAATTCAAATTGCCACGATGCGCCACCATAGCTGCCTGTTTGCGGCAAACATTTGCGCTCACTAGAACCCGTCACACGAAACAACAGTTCTAAAACTGACAACGAAAAAGTCTCTCTTTGTCCAACAGTCTAACAGCACAACAGGTTTCACACTCTAAAAACAACACTTCCAACCCGCACGGTTGGCAACAAATTAAATGCAACCGAGGCGCCGGAAGACACTGACCTTCTCTTGGATTATATTGCACTGTTTTGATCCGACCACATTGTGTTCCATCTTGATTTGTTTCTACATGAGACCCCAAAGAAGACCTTCCAGCGAAATGCTTGCCATCTAACGTCACACCATTTTGGAGAGACTCCAAAGTCAAGCGGATACCTTCCCCGGGCCACACAGGCAGCAAAGGGTCCTTTCCGGTCCTTGCGACCACAACCTCGACGACTTTCGTTGACCGATCATCCATCAACTTCTCTTTCCAGAGTTTCACAAAATGTGTAAAATGAAATCGACAATGTTGAGGCTTTCTGCGGCTACCTTCAGGAGCATACTTGAAACACGTGTTCTTGTGTTCGTGCAGGTGGCCAGACAAAGCACACACAGCATGCAAGTCTTCGCAAAAGTTCGCAATATACTGTTGCTGCATGTCTTCTTTCGCATCAATGGGAAAACCACTCGTCGAACGTTCCTCAGCATCTGTCCGAGCCTTTGCACATAGTGAGCAACTGCATGCAGCATACCCTGACACCGGTAGACGATAATGTGGCAAGCGCGCCATGACGCATCCAGTCAAAGGGATATGCTTGATGTTCACCTTTTGCTTTGTCTCCTCAAAAGATGTAGCAGATTCTCCTGTCATAGCTTTTCGTATATGATAATCGACCACAGGTGGCACCACCGTAACAGAAGTACGTTTCTTCTCGGGCTCCTTGACATCTTCTTCTGCACCGCCATCAAAACGATCTTCTTCCCGCCACTTCTCACTGTACGGCTGGGGCTTCAAGTCGATGTCTTCTCGAAACGGAATTTCTTCAAAGTGCAATCGACCTGTGCCTGCACAGGAAGACATGATGCTTTCAACGGCCAGAATAGTTTTCTCTTGCCAATTGCGCAACAAAGCTTTAGCTTCGTCCGTCTCAGCCAACAAAACCGAGCGAAGCCATGCTTGAGAAGTCCGATTGGCAAAATGCAAAACTATATGAGGGTGGCACGCAAGCCGAGCTTGTTCCTCAATGGGTCCATGAAGTTGCTGCACAGCCGGGAACGCACCGCCCATAAAATTCGCAGCAGCTCCATCTGCGTAGATCACCCCTGCCCGACTACCATTTGCACGAAGTTGGTCGTCAAACGGCATCACGCCAAGAACGTGTTCCAAAAACAAACGCATGCTGATGATGAAAAATTTGGCCTGTGCAACAGGGTTTTCTGCTAATATCTCAAGCATGCGACTGGCAGAAGGCATGGTGGGTTCCTCGTCCAGCAAATTCACCGTGTACTTCTCCGATGTGCCATCCGGTGTCAGTCCACCAGCAGCAGCAGCGACATTGCCATTGTGTAGAATCACAAGCAATGGATTTCGCGTGTCTGCAACATTCGGCGTCAAGAAGCCTTGCACACCACCATACCTGCAAAGGCTTCAGTGTAAGAGTATATATATGTGAAGCTTGTCGACAACAAAATATTCACTTGCCATGTCCTCCGTTAATACTTTCCTAACAAAAACATTTCAATGAAACATAACTACCACGACCAACTGTTCACCATCATTATACAGACGGCACTTGCCGCTAAGACACATCAGCATCGCACCGTTCTGCTCATGTCTCAGCTGCTGTCTCGCCCCATCCGATCCCACCACATCGGAAGAAAAGAATAACAGCTGCGATATCGCATCTCTGAGGCGAGTGTCTGCCTTGGCTGAACGCATCACATCACCCATCGTCGCATGATCTCCAAGCTCACGCAAAGCGGTGCTGAGTTTGGCAGAAGTACAATCCAGGACAGCACGCAGAGAATCTTTGAATTTCTTCCGCCGGACATGTCCGGAAGCCAAGCGCACCATCTCCATGCGTTTCCAAGAATCAGAAGCAACAGCAAGAAAATTCAAATCTGCTTGCCAGCGTGGAATGATAGGGGGCTGGAACGGCGTTTCTGGCAGAGAATCAGAGGTGGCTACGTCGGAGATTTCATACTCCAGCTCAACTCTTGCTAACAGATAGCTTGCCCACTCGCGGAAAGTCAGAGGAGTGTCCCGCGGTAAGCCATATACTCCATCACCATACGGAAATAATTCCGGAAAACATTTCTGATAAAATTCAGGTGAATACATCGACAGGGTATCACTCCCAGTGTGGACAACCTGCACCCACTTACCCGTCGAACTGTGAGTGGCACCTTCCGCAGCATCCATCTGTTGCACCAATTCATCCAGCTTTGCTTGCAAATCAGCTTTCGACATCGTTTCAGCCAGGGCCTTCAAGCTCGTCAATTCTTGTTCCACCGCATCATCACCACCACCAAGACGCTGTGCCCGAGCGGCCAGAAGTTGCAACTTTGCAGCAAACTCTTTACAACATCTTTCCACGTCCAAGTCCGCGCTTGTCAGTTCTGCCGCCACACATTGAAAGCCAGGCGGCGGCTGATCTTCGTCCGCATCAAGCGATTGGTTGTGGACTGAGCCAACATCACCGCTGTCATCTCCACAGTCGGCAGTCGCCGCCAGTTCCGTCTCCGCAGCATCGGTCACAGTCGCTTCCGCGACAGTCACCACGACAGTATCCGCAGATGTGTCTCCAGGAGCGTCCAACTTCACAAGCATAGCTTCAGCCTCTGCAACCCGAGTAGCCTGGGCACGCACAGCAGCACAAGTGGCGCCCAATTCCATGAACTGTTCCTTTGCATTGTCCTCAGAGACTGTAAGGTGCTGATAAGCAACATTGTGAGCGACAAGATACTTTGCTGCTGTCATATATAAATCTCGCGGAACTTCGGCCCAAGTAGCACGATCCAAGTCCTAGCATGACACACAAACGATTCGAAACAAAAAAACAAAACACAACTATTCCGTCGGCCCCGCTAGTCTTCATACAAACCTTTTCTTGTAGACATCCCCATACAGTACAAGACCCAGTCCTCCGGATCACAACCCACCAATGCAATAGAAATGCTGTCCGACAAATAACGGTGGGTCTCAATCGAAGCTGCAGGCAGTTCAGTGGATACCAATTCTCGTATCTTAGCTTGCGGAAATGCTACAGTGTTGCTTCGCATGCCCATTTGTTTTTCTTGCCTTCTCCCCGGCTTGTCTTTCTCGGCAATGATTTTTTGCACCACAGCACGGCCCAAGGAAAGAAGTAAGAATGTCATAGGAGATAATTTCTTGCCTTGATTGCGAAACACGACAGGTTCACGACCAATCCACAAAGAATTGGCAAGCGCAAACTTGGGCATCTGTGGCACCTTGCGCGTCAAGCTCTGCGAGCAAGCCATGCAAACATCCACGACAGTATCGGGACCGAGCCGCGATGGAACCATCTTTGTGTTCAGCAACCATCGACAAGCTCGGCCTGCTTTGTCTTTGCCAGTCGGATGTTCAACAGTACTAGCCAAAAGTTCGGCTAAAGGAATCAAAGGCCACAGTCTGGAATAACGATATACATCGAAAATGTGTGAATGCAATCTTGCAACAGCTTGAGGAGATATACTAAGCACACCGTCATCTTGTTCCTTCTCCTCTTCCGCTTCATCTTGATCATTTGCAGGGTCTTCCAAATTCACTTCATCCAATTCCGTGGCTCCAAGCGCCGTCACAAACAGTTTCACCGGTCGAAGGTCCTCCTTCCAGAATCCACGAGCACACACACAACATGAAGAAAAGGACCGAGGCTCTGCGTGTTTGCCTCTGCAGCTATGCACTTGATGAAATGCGTGTTTGGCAATGCCCCGTTGCATCTGTTCACCTTTGACAGGAAACGGTCCTGGGCCAGGGATGCCAAAAACAGAAACAACTGCACCCCGACACACGGAGAGCCATCATATTAGTTAAGCAAATTGGAACTGGCTATTTTCAACTGGTTGCAGAAACTATTTCACTCATGCCAGTATGCGTGACATCAAAAAATGAAGATACATCACACCATCCTATCAGTTTGTCATTGAGTACCGACTTGACTATCCGCCTTCCACTTGCTCATAGAACATCATGCGCTTGCGATACTCTTCCACAACACGATGCGAAGTCCACCACTCTGCACGATTGCCTGCGCTGTCAGCAGCCACATGATGTTCTTCCAGATGTTTCAAAAAATCACGTTGTGTGTTCATCTCACTGCCGCAAAGCTCACAGGCCAGCATACACGTTGCTTCTGGACCACGTCGAAAAGGCCAACGATCTCCGGAATCTGTCAACTGTGAAGCTTGGATGTATGCTTCCTTCTGCATACGGCGCTGCCAAATGCTTGGGAATGCTTCTTCCCAAGTTATCCTTTCGGCAACACGCATAGCTTTTCTGCCGGTGAGCAATGTTTTCATGCGGACCCGCCGAACTTTCTGCGCCAAGGCGTCTGAGGCGCTCTGCGGCCCTCGGACCGGCAAAGACTGCTCATTTTGCCACAACTCTTGCACTTCTTCGAAAACCTTCAAATGATGCGGCCACCACAGGAAGCACGAATGCAGTGGTAAGGCTTCCCACGCCAACATCTGGTCTTCATTGAGAGGCAACGCATAGTCAGACAGCACCCCTTTACGCTTGTTGACAACAACTCCAAAACGACGAGAGCGGACCTTGCGAATAGCTGTCACAAGTTCCGGGTCTGAACTGTGGCCACCATCTTTGTCGGGCCACCTGCTTTCAGAAACACAAAAAGATTCCACACGAGCTCTCACACTAGCAGTATCATCCGATGTCGCAACTGGGCATGTCTCCAACCATTCCAAAGCGGCAGTTTGTTCATCAACAGATAAAGACTGCATGGAAAAAAGAGCAGCAGATTCGAAACCTCGACACACAGCAATGACAATGTCCGCAAAGCAACAGCGACGATCAGCCGCAGCGTCATGACAATACCGCTGAAACGCCGTCCCTGGTAGATCGGCCAAATACGGTAAGCAGTCCAAAACCGTCTTGTCCGCCACAAACTTGACAGCACCACCACGAAGCTGCTCATCCAGCGGACTTGTGTCCGGCCCCTGGCCTCTGGGCAACATGTCTTTCAGCAATCGAAGCATGCCTGCCCTTCGCAACTTGCTGTATAGAGCCGATGTCGTTGGCGGAGGTTGCCCTGCATTGGCATCCATGTAGTCCCGCAGTTCCTGTCGGAGCTCCACTTCCTTCTTTTGCTCTTCTGCCTGCCGAAGCTGCTTTTCCCTTGCACTCTTCTCTGCTTCCAACAATCGGAGCAAGCCTGCCCTTCGCAACTTGCTGTATAGGGCCGACGTCGTTGGCGGAGGTTGCCCAGCATTGGCCTCCATGTAGTCCCGCAGTTCCTGCCCGAGCTGCGCTTCCATAGGAAGCCTTTCTTCTTCCAGCAATCGCAGCAAGCCTGCCCTTCGCAACTTGCTGTATAGAGCCGACGTCGTCGGCGGAGATTGCCCTGCATTGGCATCCATGTAGTCCCGCAGTTCTTGTCGGAGCTGCGCTTCCATAGGAAGCCTTTCTTCTTCCAGCAATCGCAGCAAGTCTGCCCTTCGCAACTTGCTGTATAGAGCCGACGTCGTCGGCGGAGATTGCCCTGCATTGGCATCCATGTAGTCCCGCAGTTCCTGTCGGAGCTGCACTTCCTTCTTTTGCTCTTCTGCCTGCCGAAGCTGCTCTTCCCTTGCACTCTTCTCTGCTTCCAACAATCGGAGCAAGCCTGCCCTTCGCAACTTGCTGTATAGGGCCGACGTCGTTGGCGGAGGTTGCCCAGCATTGGCATCCATGTAGTCCCGCAGTTCTTGTCGGAGCTGCGCTTCCATAGGAAGCCTTTCTTCTTCCAGCAATCGCAGCAAGTCTGCCCTTCGCAACTTGCTGTATAGAGCCGACGTCGTCGGCGGAGATTGCCCTGCATTGGCATCCATGTAGTCCCGCAGTTCCTGTCGGAGCTGCACTTCCTTCTTTTGCTCTTCTGCCTGCCGAAGCTGCTCTTCCCTTGCACTCTTCTCTGCTTCCAACAATCGGAGCAAGCCTGCTCTTCGCAACTTGCTGTATAGGGCCGACGTCGTTGGCAGCTGTTCCCCAGCATTGGCATCCATGTAGTCCCGCAATTCCTGCCGGAGCCGCTCTTCCCTTTGTGCTGCATCTGCTTTTGGGCGCCCCTTCGGTCCGAATGTGGGCCAAGTCAATGCAAACAATACAGCATAGAACCAGGCCGGTTCGGGCCATGGTAAATGCACAAGTAACAAGGCTGTGTGCGCCGTGCACAGATGTCTGTTCGGAGCATGTACGCCGAAGAGACATGACGTGATCCAGACACAGAGAAGAGCAACCTGGATTCAGGACAATGTCGCTACTCAAGCGTGAAACAGGAAGTGATGCAAATCCCATGTTCTTCTTGCGAAACGTTTTACAGAACATATTGAAAACATTGAAATCCTATCACAGTCGCTTTCGTGCTGACGCCTGCTCACAAGTGTGATTCGGTTACGCCGGGTAACAAGTCAGATTAGGTTGGAATTCTTTCACCTTTGATTTGCAAACATTGCGCATAAACCTGCAGCCTGTATGAAAGGAAGTCAAAAGCAAAACAAGAAATCCATTCAGACAAGTGTCGGTCGCAGTGTCTTCATCCTGCAAGCCAAGTTGAAGCAAACAAATGAAACAGACACAGGGACCTGAGATACGGTAAACCTTTCTGGGAAATTTAAACCAATGAAACAGATAAAGGACCTGAGATACGGTAAACCTTTCTAGGAAACTCATGTCTCAATGTATGTCTCAATGTCTTTGTACAGCAAGGCTGTACGCTATCCAAGCATGCGCGTACAATTGCCACCAGAATGATGCCGTAAGTACACAAACAAAAAGCACCGAGAGCACCTCCTGTCGCCAAAGCATATGCCACAAAGGTAATGACTCCACTGCAGGCCACAGCAGATCCTGCATCAAAGTCAAAGTGTCGAGTCCAAACAAATATATAAATCGACTCACTAAATGCTTCAGCTTCATGATGGTTATTTGTGCCAAAGACATGAAAATAACCGGCCACACATCTGACTTCTGCCATTCGACCGCGAAGCGGCAACAGAGCGATCGGTTTAAGAACGTCATGTTCTGTTGCCATGCTTCTAGCCTGCCACTGTAAAAGCGGAATCTCCAAGGACAAACAGCGCAGTAGCAGCGCCAAGAACAGCGGCAAGCTGAAAATGACACTCACTGGCGGGGCAGCGCAAGCAAGACCAATGACAGGCAGCAACAGCA